GGGAAGGTGGAGAGTGGCAGTGTGGGAGACATACACAGAGGCAGAAGTCCTCAGCATGTTTGCACTGAGAATTGTTCTGTGCCAGGCACTTTCAGGAGAAATGGGACAGAGGGAAGCACAGATGAAGGTCTTTTCTTAATAGCATGTGGGACAGCTCTCACCTGGAGCACTCAGTGTCTGGGAGAGCAGGGATGGCCTCACTGAGTTGAGTCTGAAGTTGGCCTGCGTGAGCCAGAATGGGGAAATGGGAACCTTCAACTGCAGGACACACTTAAAGACAACACAGAGCATGGGAACTGCCTTCCTGAGGGCCTGTGGATTCTCCCCATCACTGCCTTGGATGTGGAGAGCTTAGGAGAGAGTGAAGTTATAGAGGGAGTCCTGAAAGGTAGCCATTGGTCAACAGAGGTCGCCACCCTGTGATGTGGAGACATCCTGGACGTCACCAGCACACTAGTGGTTAGGAAAAAAATTCCAACCAAAATAATGAAGTAAATAAATTTTCACAATCTGTGGTGCTCATGTGAAGGACCTTTCCCCTGTGATCAGGAGAATGCAAAAGCCTTCCTAGGTCCCTGTAATCTGGTGTCACCGTGGTCATGAGACCAGGCATGAGATCAAAGATGCATGTGACTAAAGTTCTGTTCCAAGGAGTTTAAAGAAACTAGCTGAGCCTTGACTTTCATTTTTTTTTTTAATAAATTACAGTTTATTCTTGTTGTATCCCAGTTGTAGCCTCCTCCCTTTTACCCTCCCAACGCCACCCTCCTTCTTTTCCTCTCATACCCCACCCCCAGTCCACTGATAGGGGAGGTCCTCCTCCCCTTCCCTCTGACACTAGCCTATCAGGTGTCATCAACACTGGCTGCATTTTCTTCCTTTGTGAGCCTTGACTGTCTTAGTCCCACTTGACATTAGACCCTTTTAAAAAAGGGGGTTTTGTTTTTGATAATGTGGGTGATGGTGGTGGTATATGCCCATGAGTCCAGGTGCTATGGAGTTAAGAGGGAGGTCAGCTCCCCTGAGCTGGAGTTAAAGGTGGTTCCAAGTTACCACATAGGTTCTGGGAACTGAACTTGGTCCTCTGGAAGAGCAGCAAGTGCTTATACTCAATGAGCCATCTCTCCAGACCCCTGGGACAAATGAACTATGTGCCTTCCTTCCTACCTTCCTTCCTTCCTTCGTAACAAGCCACTTCACTTTTTTCCCTGCCTGAGACAGGGTTTCTCTGTGTAGCCTTGGCTGTCCTGGTATTTGCTTTGTAGACCAGGCTGGCCTTAAACTCACAGAGATCTACCTGCCTCTGCCACCCCAAGTGCTGGGATTAAACGCATGTGCTACCACATATGGCATTGCTACTTCACTTTTAATATTGTGCTTAGACCCAGTATTCTCTAAGATCTTTTCCAAGTTCTCTTTGTCTTAGTCTTCTATTGCTTTGAAGAGACACCATGACCAAGGTAACTTATAAAATGAAACACTTAATTGGGGATTCAATTGTATTTCAGAAGGGTGAGTTCATGACTGTCATGGTGGTCATGGAGCATTGTGACATGCAGGCAGACAGGCATGGCACTGGAGCAGCAGCCAAGAGCACAAACAAGAGGCAGAGAGGCAGGGAGAGAGAGAGAGTTAGTCCCAGCTTAGTGGGGCTTTAAAAAAAGACACAGGAAATGAGATTTCTAAAGCATAGGACAGAAATGGTTATGATGGTTTTATGATGTTTTACAGTGGTGTGCCATTTCCCCAGGGTAAATAGCAGGAAGCGAGAGAAGATGTCTCCTAAATCTGGGGAACACGCTGTCAACGGCAGAGGACTGAGGGAGCTCTGTGACAGCCAAGGGTTCCGGTGCCTGAGCTTAAGGCAGTGTTTGTACATCTCTGATCAGAAGTTTGTGAATAGATTCAGATTTTCAGGAAAACCTGTGGGCTTGGAAGCTGTGGGGATGGTGTGACATTTGGCAAAGAGTGGCAAAGGAACCTGTCATCCCCTTGTCTGGGTAGATGTGCCCATAGCTGCCCTCTGGAAATGAGAAGAATCCAGAGAAGGGCTGGTTAGAGTCGGACAGTCTACACCACACTGGGTTTGCTCTGACTTGGGAGCTAACTCTTGTAAGTTCTCTGGGTTCCTGTGGGTTTAGCCCATAAAGTCAGGAGGAAGTTAGAAGAAAAGGCCCAGCATCCAGAAGCAACGCTCATATGGAGCACTACAGTGTCTGTGTTCAGCTGCCTCTGCCTGTTTCTATTCACCGCCAGTTGGTGTCCTGGCTAGGCTGGGTGGTAAGCACTGAAGAGATAAAGGTGATTTCTGCCACCGTCATTGGGGGGCTCTGGTACCAGGTTGTGGACAAGATGGAGGGTGCCCTGTTCACATGAGCCAGGGTCCCCAGGTCCCCTTCCTTTAGCAGGGATGGAAATCAGGAAGAAGTCTTGCCTTGTTTGTAACACAGAACTTCCCAATTCTGTGGCTTTCTCTTTCTTCTTTGAGCATACAACAAACTATTTGGCAGTAGCCCCCCAACAGTTTCCTCATTTTATGTTGATGGCTTCTCCATGTATTATGGGGGAAACAGAACCAGAAAAGATGCTACAACAAAAGCCAAGGCCCTGAATACCCACGTCCAGTTCTCCATCTCCTCCAGTTACCACTAGCCTTACCCCTCCCTTTAAACATGTGTTTTCTCTATAAAATTTGCTGCTTGATGCTTGCTGAGATGGCTTATTGGGAAAGACATTTGTCCCCGATGTCTCTGGCTGCCTCAGTGGGACTCACATGTGGAAGGAGAGAACTTACTCCCACAAGTTGTCCTGTAGCCTCCACATGTGTATTTGCAAGCCCGCGCACACACACACACACACACACACACACACACACACACACACAGAGGAAATATAATTCTTTAAAATTGAAAACAATTGGTGCTTGGATGTAATTTCCACATACTTTACCTATCGGGAAGAAAGTCCCATTCTATGCAGGAGAATTTGAATTATTTCATGTTGTCCAAATCTGGAGGTTCACCATAAGACAGATACACTCTGGGAAAGCTTTCCTTTTTAGTTAAAGGAAAGTGGGTCTTGGGGTTTCCTGTTGCCCTAGATGAGGCTGGGATCCTGGGGTTCATCTTCCCACCTGCTTCACTGTGAGCTTAGCCAGCCTACAGGGGACACCTGGCTGTTTGAAGGTGACTTACTTTCACCGTCAGAAAGAGGTGTTCCTTCTCTGTGGTGATGGGAACTGAAGGCTGGTGTTTGGGAGGGCCTTGGCAATGACCCAGCTGCCAGGAGCACTCCATCTCCTGGAAGGTTCCGGGGACCAGGAGGAGACTAGTGCAGAGTGACACATTGTCTTAGTCTCACGAAGAGCACCCTTCCGGGAAATGATATAAGTTTACTGTATCTGCTAGTAATCCTGTGATGCCATCCCCAGCAAAAAGCATGTGACTACTTGTAAGCAAGGGAAATTGGATTCTGCTCAACAAAATCAGGCCGTAATCGTCCTGATCCAATAATGTGGCCCTGCTGGGTGGCGTCATCAGCCCTGAGACACAGAGAGGAGGAGGAGGGAGGGTGGGCACTCCGGAAGGCTACTGCCCCACTCTCCAGACACTTAAGCCAATGAAAAATTCCTTCGGCAATGCTTTATAGCCAGTGTCTAAGTCCACTGCTGGGTCACGAGCTGGCCTGAGCCATCAGTAGAATTCATCATCAGGAAGGGAACTACGATGCAGTGTTTATGAGAACGGGCGGTGCTTCAAGCCAAGACCAGTTTCTGGGTTCTTAATCTGCGTCACCTTTAGAAGTACAGAACTTACTTTGAAAATGGACTTGGTAAAAAGAAAAAAAAAAATCTCCCCTAGATTTCAAAAGTCTTTCAGACATTATGGAGGGGAAGAAGAGGCATCGTGTGTGGCCATTGGAAAAAGCCAGCCCAAGGATTACTTTTTTGTTTCACACTTTGGCAGTCTTTTTTTTTTTTTAATGTGATTTATTTTAACCAAGTCTAGAATTTTAAAAAATGACCTATCTTCAATCCCCCCAGACACAACTGGAAATACATGAGAGTGAAATAATATAAAATTATAATCAGAGCCGTAGGTTGTGTCAGTAAGTCCCAGGTTTGATGGTAAAAGCTTTTAGGAGCTAAGAAACACTGAGCTGTATCTTATGGCTCTCTCTACCCAGGCAATGTCTCAAGGCTGAGAGAGCCATGGTGGAAGTCAGAATGAGCTCAGAGTCTACCGAGCACTCGAGGAGGCTGGTAGCTGGGAGGAACATTGTGAAAACGGCTTTGGGGGATGTGTGTGTGTGTGTGTGTGTGTGTGTGTGTGTGTGTGTGTGCGCGCACGCGCGCGCGTTGGGCTCAACACCACCCAGGACTTCAGAGTCCGTTAGGTGCCTGTTCTGTCACACCCTCCACAGTTGTTTCTGAGTAATGAAGCCAAGCTCACGACCTCCAGATGGAGAGTCTTGGAAATTCAGCAGTGAGAGGAACACCAGGGAGGAGTGAGTGGAGCTCTGTCCTTGCCCCGGCAGTGGTGTCAGGGAAGAGGCCGTGCCCCAGGGAATCCCACAGAGACTGAGCAGCCGCCTGGAGCTTTCCTCTCCTCCATACAGAGCACAGCTGCACATACCTTACATATACACGCACATATGTACACAGCAAATATGTAAACAGCTGGAATATAGTGGCTTGGAAGGCTGTTTGGCCTGTAAGTTTTAAGTGGAATGGTTATGAAATTAATTGGTAAAAAGTGAGCCTTCAACTAAAACTCAGTATTTAAATTTGTTTTCCAGACTAAAGCTGTTTTCCTTGTTTTCTTCCCAGCGTGTGAATGGCCCTACAGACTTCACCGGGAGGTAAGGAAAGTTCTTTCAGGCACCGAAGCTCATTCATCTACCAGTGAGCACCAGGCCAGAGCCACCATCTGAGGCAGATCACACAGAATGTCCTTCTGCCTGACCCAGGTCCCCAG